AAAATCTCTACATTTGTGCTCTGAGGCTATTGGCCAATGAAATATACTCGGAGTCGAGAGTGGATTTCATGCTCTTTATTCAGCTCATAGTGGTGAGGAGGAATGGAAATTCCCCCAGAATGTCTGCTTTATATGCATTATTTACACAATGGGCCCCACATGATTGGCTAATTCTGGGATTCACCTGTAGGCCAATCAGGTTACAGACCTGGAGCTGGATTGGGTGGCTCCTGTGGACCAATCAGACTGCTGCATTCTGAATCCTATTGTTCTAGGACCAATCAGACTGCTGCATTCTGAATCCTATTGTTCTAGGGCCAATCAGACTGCTGCATTTTGGATCCTATTCAGCTCAGTACATAACAGCCAGGAATGCAATTACCATAATAAATAAAAATGAGGGAAGGAGGCAACCCTCTTTAGTTCCTCGATATAACGTGAGATGCGTGGAAATTTAGATTTTTTTCTTATGTTGGATGTAGAAGGGGAATAACGGTAAAGGTAAAGGACCCCTGGACGGTTAAGTCCAGTCAAAGGCGACTATGGGGTTGTGGTGCTCATCTCACACTCAGGCCAAGGGAGCCGGCGTTGTCCGCAGACAGCTTTCCGGGTCAAGTGGCCAGCATGACTAAACCGCTTCTGGCGCAATGGAACACTATGACGGAAACCACAGCACACGAAAACGCCATTTACCTTCCCGTCGCAGTGGTACCTATTTATCTACTTGCACTGGTGTGCTTTCGAACTGCTATGTAGGCAGGAGCTGGGACAGAGCAACAGGAGCTCTTCCTGTCGTGCAGATTTGAACCGCCAACCTTCTGATCGGCAAGCCCAAGAGGCTCAGTGGTTTAGACCACAGCACCACCCACATCCCTTAGAACGGGAATACGTAGCTCTCAAGGAGTTTATAAATTTAGGGTCAAATTCACAAAGTGAATGAGTTTTAGTAAAAACTGCCAACTGGCGTAATCAAAAGCCTTAAATAAATCTGGAGAAAGTCAGGAAAGACCTTGTCACTCTGCTGCATTTCTGTGTAACATAGCAGTGTGTGTATTACAACAGTGTAATACGTTCTTGTTTACTTCCACTTTTGCTTTCTATTTATACGCACCCATGAAGTGGTTCCACAGAAGGGCGGAGCAGGTCCCCAGGCAACAACATGTTTATGTATTTAATACTAATTAACAGGGTTGCAATGCATTAAGGAAGACAACTGTTTGCTTTTAAGTAATATCTGTGGTTTGACCAGTAAATTATGTTCAGTGTAGCAATTTCTTGCTTAGTTCCACTTCAGTATTCTCTTTATATACTCATGTAGTTATACAGAAATGAGTGGAACAGAGCCTCAGACAAAAACATGTTTATGGATTTCAGATTCTGGAAGTTATCGATATTATTTCTCTACCGAAACGTCAAGTGCTGCCATACTACTTTTTGTTCTAATTTAGAAATTTTTTCTAGTTTATAATTTTTTTTCTAGTTTAGAAATATTTCCCCCCCTAGTTTAGAAATCCAGTAGAAATTTGTCCAGAATTCTCATTTTTGACCAAAAATAAAATTTTTAAAAATAGGATTCCCCCCCCCAAACAATAACACTTCCTCTTTTGGGTGTCTAAAGGAAGTCTTATATGAAATGCACATTTAAAACAGCATAATTAGCAGGATAATAAAATATTTTCATAAGTACAGAACATATCAGCTGCTGTTGCTGCCAATATTGCCAGCTGTGGTTCATTGCGAGCAGTGGCTGTGGAACACTCCAGGACCTAGCACTGAACTAAGAGGCAGCAAAGAAGGTCTCTGAACTCGTCAGCAGCTTTCGTTTTCGTAGCTGGAGTCAGTCACGGTCCAGCCCTCCCTGGCCGGGTGGGAAAAGGCCTGCAAGGCAGGGAGCAGGTCTTCCAGGTTATCATAGCCAAGATCGGGATTATCAAATTTTTACATCAGGGATAGTAATAGAATCATAGAATTCTAGAGTTAGAAGGGAACCCCAGTCATCTAGTCCAAACCCTTACAATGCAGGAATCGTAACTAGAGCACCCAGGACAGATGGCTACCCAACCTCTGCTTGACAGACTTCAAGGAAGGAGAGTCCACCACCTTCGGAGGGAGTCCATTCCACTGTCAAACAGCTCTTGCCATCAGAAAATTCTTCCAGATGTTTAGTAGGAATCTCTGTTCCTAAAAAATAAAATATTTTTTACACAAACTTATAGCCCCAGACCCATTTTCTTTACCATACAGTGGTACCTCAGGTTACATACGCTTCAGGTTACATACGCTTCAGGTTACAGACTCCGCTAACCCAGAAATAGTGCTTCAGGTTAAGAACTTTGCTTCAGGATAAGAACAGAAATCGGGGTCTGGCGGCGCGGCAGCAGCAGGAGGCCCCATTAGCTAAAGTGGGGCTTCAGGTTAAGAACAGTTTCAAGTTAAGAACGGACCTCCGGAACGAATTAAGTACTTAACCTGAGGTACCACTGTACTTACCTGTAAACTGAAGCTCCAGAGAGACCTCCCCAGAACAATCCTGAAATGCATTTTAATTTTATAAAAAATTGAATTTGCAACTTTCTGGATTTTCAGCTCAAATTGGATGGAGTCCCAGCCTTGTATGTTTGCTTCCCTCCTCTCCCCAGCTCTAAGAAACAGATGTTTATTATTCACTTATTGGTTCATTATTGCTGTTTGTTCATGTTATCTATGCACTTCATTAGCTATTCACTTGAGCCGTTCCCTGGTGTTAAATCAGCAAAATGTTGGTTGCTTAATCTGAGTTGCATGGTGAAGGGTAAATAAGCCAAAAGCCCAGGTCTCAACAGGTGGAGTTTTAAAAGCCCCACTCCTTTTAATACATTCTGCTTAAAAAACAACAACTTAAAAGTAAAGGCTGTTCATCGGACTTTCAGTTTTGTATGCTAACTTTACCAAAAGAGACAGCAGCCTTTATCTTTCCTTTCAGCCCTCCCATTCACTGGAGCTGCCCCAATTTTATAGTCTCTTGGGAATTTCACTACAGGATTAGCTGAAACTTGATGCTTGGAAACATGGAGGAGTTTCCCCAACTTTCTGATTCAAGGAAGTTATCAGCTGATAAATGCCAGGTGCCTAGGGAATTTGTGCAGACAACATGACCTTTTTGAAGATAATTTGACTTTCAGATCCACTGTAGTCCTATGAAAAGGATGGACTCATTCACACATTCATTTGGGGTTTTTTTGAGTTCTCATTATGCATATAAGTGAATGTGTGAAACACTATTTTTTTTACTGTGCTTCCAACTTCATGCAACAAGTACGGTAGTCTACAGGGGGTCTGCATGGAAGATACTCAACCTGCATTTCACCAGGTGTAGCATTTACCATAAGGTGTGGTTCTCCTCCAAACGGTCAGAATTTTGTCAGGATTCAACTGAATACCAGACATTCAGTGCAATTAATGTGCTCTGTGGCCAGGGCACAATACAGCCACTTTTTTTGGTGGGAGGGGGGAGAGAAATCCTAACTTTTTGCAGTTAGGAAAGTGATGGAGAAAATATGGGATGAACAGGAGGTTAACGGGGAGGTATCTAACCACTTTGCAAGCCAATCAGGATGACTGTTCCATATAACCTCTTTGCAAGCCAAACAGAACACACCAGCTACACCTGTTGAATTTCCAGTTTTAAAAACACTCTTAAAAGGGGTCTGCTTTTGCATCTGTCCAGCTGCCTTACAGGCATACGATCAAATGCACCTAGCTTTATTTTGCGGCAAATGCATAAAATACGCAGGCAAAGGAAACCCACCGCGATGATCTCATCCTTGCGTCATGCTTATTCTCGGGCGCACATGCAGGCGAGCTGGCCCTAGTCCCAGCCACGTGGCCCGTTACAGATTTGAGGGACGGCTGGGGCGCGTCTTCGTTGCCAGCCGAGGCGCCTGCACGGTTTAGCCTCGCCGGGGCCAAAAAAAGCACGGCTCTCCTGGGTCCTGACGAACATCCACGAGGGAGACGAAGGAGGGGAAATGCGAGCAGGGCTGGGCGGGCGAATGGCGCTTGCTTGGCAGTCTCGCTCCTGTTTCCTCGGCAGGAGGACACAATGGAAGTGGCCCAACTTGGCACGTTGCAAAGTTGTTGCGTCTCGCAGATCTGCGCGCTCCCGATGGAGAGACCCTTGCAAAGCTCTCGCTATCCGGCTGCATAACGTGCGGGCGCGTGTGTATGTGACACTTCAACACTCTGCAGCGGGATCCGAAGAATGCTTATTCGAGAGTAAGCCCCGATGAAGTGAATGGCGATGACTCTTGAGCAAGTGAGCATTAGGACTGCAGCGGGCGCAGCAAGACGCAACGCGTGTTTCGTTGAGAAGCAAATCGTGCCCCATTGAAGCGGCAAGCACACCTAACCTCACTATTCTGGGGTGGGGAAGAGTCTCGTGGGGGTTTACTCCCGAGTAAATGTCCCTAGGATCTTGCTGTAAGCATAAGGATTGCAGTCTAGCCGCGATTTCACACACGTTTCCTAGGAAACAATAGTCAAACCCCTGAAAAAATAATCACCGAACAGGAGTGCCACAACTGTGTGTCCCGTGGCCATGGGTGCCATGTAGCGAAATTTGTGGGTGCCCACAAATTTGTGGGTGCCTTCATGGGGAATTTTGTGAGTGTTGGGGCACCAAGGAAGTTGGCACCTATGCCACCAAGTGAACGGGCGATTCAAATTCAGACGACTTGTCGGAAGTATTTACAAATAATTATTTTTGTGGGGAAATTATTGAACCATAAAGCTAATCTCTTATTAACTAACATTCTCTATTAACAAGCAATAAAGCCCGTAAACTGGTTTCTCTCTTATTGCTAGTTTTCGCAGTTTGTCTACTCGGAAGTAAACCCTATTTTCAGTGGAACTTACTCCCAAGAAAGCGCATTCCAGGTCGCAGCTTAACGCAACTTTTCACCAACGCAAACCGGATCGGGCATTACACAAGGCTTTTATATACGTATTCCGGAATACTTCCAAGCAGGCACGCATCGGATCGGGTCCCACGGGTCCCCGCCTCACATAAGCTCCCATCGTTGCAGCGCGACCCGATGTATGTTTACTCGGAAGTAAGACCCATTGTGTCGGATGGGGGCGGGGCTTCTTAGCTAAGTGTGCACAAAATCGGGACCTCGTAGTGCAACCGTAGCAAGCAGCTCCCACCGCGGTCAACGAGGCGTGTTTCCAGGTAAGTATACACAGGGTTGTAGTCATAAAAAAAACCTTAATTTTGCGGCACGCCTGATTTCGGTAAAGTTTACTTGTCCAAGCAAGCAAAGTCCGTCCCCGGACTCGTTGGCAAAGACCATCCTTCTCGTTTGTATAGTGGCCACTTGAAAAGGAGAAAAACCAACAGAAACCAGAAAAGTGCATTTCTGGGCAAGGCGACCCCTCGAGCATCTTTTCCCAGAGGCAAGCCCCACACTGACTTCCCGGAGACTGCCTGCAGGATCATAGCCCTGGAGCCAGTAGGCACCTCCCTTGCATAAGAAGCCGACTCGCGAGTAAGCGCACTTAGCGCCTTGCCAAAACAAAACACAGCCTCCCGCGCGCAACGGCTCCGCAACTGGTTCCCCAAGAAGCGAAAAACCGATGGAAAGCAACGCGCCCAAGGAGAATCCCAAGGCTCAAATTGATATCGCCGGCCTGTCTTACTTCGCCGCACGTTTTCTTGCGGTTGCTTGCTAACGCGGGAGCGTGTAAGAGTCGTCTTAGCAGTTGTTCCCCTTCATTCGCGCTTGCAAACAAGCGACGCCCGCTTTCCTTCCAAAGTCTCTGCAAACGGAGTCCAGTCCCGCCCCACTTTTTTTTAAGTCCGGACAGTGTTGCAAAAACAAATAATTTGCATACTGCAAAAAAAATATATTTTGCATGCTTAAAGAGGCCTCCTCGGTGTTTTTTCTTTCCAAAACATTGCCGAGGGACTCCTCGCTGTATTTTCTTTCCAACCCTCCCCACCTCCTTTTCTTCAAATTCTCCCCCCCCCTTTTTTTTTTTGCAAAGCTATAGCAGAGAGTTTGCATTAAGAGAGAGCGCCGCTGGATTTCTGGACGCGCCGTAGCCGCAAGGACACAGCAAGCACTTTCTTCCTCCAAGCCTCTGCTGCAGCAGCTGGAGAGTTGGGATCGGGACGCGGGGGGGGGGGGTAAAAGGGTAAAGGGAAGGAAAAACAAGGGAGGGGGGAAGAGAGCGAGCGAGAGAGGAGGATTTACAAATGCAAAGCAGCAGCTGAGGACGCAACAGCAGCTGCTGTTGCCGCTGCCCAGAACAGAAGCCCTGGCAGTCTGGCGACTAAGGCGGGGGGAGGGAGGGAGTGGAGTGGCTGGGTGGGGGTTGGATTTTTTTTTTTAATGTATTTTTTTCCGGGTTGCGAGCAGCAGACAGCGGCGTCCACGGGGCGCGGAGGCGTCAGTCGTTGCAGCCGCCGCCGCCAGAGTGCTATTGTGTGTGAACTGGGGGGAAGAGAGAGAGAGAGAGAAAAAGAAAGAGCGCACAGAGCTAAAGGGAAAAAGAGAGAGACATATGCACACACCAGCATGCACACAGACACACACACTCCCCCATATGCAGGGAAAGTATCGCGAGAGCGCTCTGGCTAACAACCTGCTTCGCAACACACACAGGAGCGCTGCACCGCTGCTGGGTTGCCAGCAACAAGAAACAGCGCGCGGAGCAACCCGGACGGTGGGGAGGCGAGGCGCGCGCACACATACACGCGCGCGCGCACACACACATCTGGGGGGAGAGAGGCTCGGAGTTTGGGGAGCGGAGTTGTTGGGGTGGGGAAGAGCAAGAGGGAGAGAGCGGCGCACATGCAGATCTCCAGCGGCACCCCTGAGCAACACCCAGCCAGGCTGGTGAGTAAAACGCTTGCTCTGCTCTGCGCGTGTGTTGTGTTGTGGTTGCTGCACGTTCTCCATTGCTTTTAAAGGCCGGGCGGGGGGGGGGGAGCCTGCGGCGGTGCTGGTGGGTGGCTCGAGATTTCTCTCCCCCCCCCTTCCTCCGCGCTTTCCACCCTTCCAAAGCTAAGCAGCCCCCACCCTGCTCTTGCTGGCAGCTTTTGGATTGCACGCGGATCCGTGCGCTTTGGCCGGGTGCGTTTGGGAGCACAAAGGGGGCCGAGAGCTCAGCGGGTTGGCTTCAAAAAGTTGCAAAGAAGTCTGGCGGCGGCGGCGGCTATGGGGAGAGCAGCCGAAGGAATTCCGGGTCTAAGATCTATGTATGTGTGTGTGTGGTTTGCCCTCCCCATGACCACCCCCCCCGAAAAAGTTTTCAAACTGCAAGTGCCGAACTTTCAGCTCCTCCGGCTGCTGCGCCCCGCACCTCTCCAAAGGTCAAGCGGTTATGTCCTCCATTTCGAGTAATACGATTTGTTATTTAAGTAACTTTTCCCGGGGTGGTGGTGGAGGAGGAGGAGGAGGAGGGTAGTGGCGGCGGCAGGATTTTGAAGGAGGGAAGGACTCGCTCAGTTTAAGTTTGAGATTTAATAGATGGCTATAATGGGGGGGGGCGGTTGTTGGAACTTTAAAAGGCAGCAAGCTGTGGTTGGCTGGTAGTTAGATTTGAAGTAACATATGGCATTAAAAGGGGCACAGCTGGAGGTTGCATTTCCATCGCAGTGAAGTCAGAGCAGCTGACTTTCCAGCTTGCGGTGTAATTAGCAAACGGAGCACTCCCTCCCATTCGCTCCTCGCTCCTCTCTCTCCCCCCCCACTCTTTTTTCACACACATACAAGCTTTCTGCCGTTACTGGCTAGCAGAAAACCCCTGATCTTCCCAATCCCTAGGGTGATCACCCACTTGAAAAGGCAAAGAGGGGGGAAAAACAAAACAGAAACCCAAACGAGCTTGAGTTCTTCCATAACTCTTTTTGGGGGGACGTGGGGGGGGGAGAAGAGAAAGGAGACTGTATTTTCTTTCTCCAAATGAGCCCTTCAACCCCCTGCTCAGCAGCTGTTCAAGGTAAGGTGTCTTAAGAAACTACCTACCAACTTAAAGGAGTCTTACTGCAGTTTGTTTGGGGTGGGTGTAGGTGCCTTTTGCTTTTAATAACTTCCAGTGCAATCTATAGATAGATATGAAATGCTGGTGTGTGTGTTTTTTTTAAAGTGGGAAGATCGGCATTATGTTAAAAAAAAAAAAGACAGTATGTGTAGTATTTGTGGGGGGGGGGTGGAGGGTGCAAAATGCACTTGTTTTTGTAAAACGGTGTGTGTGTGTGCAATACACACTTTTAATATATAAAATAGCTACGGGGGGGGTGTCCCAAAGTTAAGATTTCCAGGAATGCACAAAAAAGCAAAGTCTTCTCTCCCTTCCTCTAAAGCTGATTGCTGTTAAGACAAAGGTTGGGGGCGTTACTTCCTTTAGAAGCTTTGGTTTACTTAAGAGTCAAGTTTTTCCTGTTTTTGAAGCAGGTGTTCTGGTGTGGGAGGCATCTCTCTCTTTTTAAGCAATTCAAACAGAAATGATAGACGATGAACAGTTGAACTGTTATCTCCAAGGCTCCAGTTTACCCCCCCCCCCCAGCCACTCTTGTTTGTTTGTTAACAGCTGCTTCAGGAGGCCTGTGGCTTTTATAGTAGCATTCAAGTTTTTCCTGTTTTTGAACAGGTTATGAAGGAAGAATGGAGTTTCCAGACCATAGCCGGCAGTTGCTGCAGTGTCTGAGTCAGCAGCGTCACCAGGGCTTCCTGTGTGACTGCACTGTTTTAGTTGGAGACGCTCAGTTCCGAGCCCACAGAGCGGTCCTCGCCTCTTGCAGCATGTACTTCCATCTTTTCTACAGGGACCAGCTAGACAAAAGGGACATTGTGCATCTGAACAGTGACATCGTCACCGCCCCGGCCTTCGGCTTGCTCCTCGAATTCATGTACCAAGGCAAGCTGGAGTTCAGCAGCCTCCCGGTCGAGGATGTGCTCGCCGCAGCCAGCTATCTACACATGTACGACATTGTGAAAGTCTGCAAGGGCAAGCTGAAAGATAAGGAATTGTGCGTGGACGAGAAGACGAACGGCAGCGGCGGGCCCCATTTGGAGAAGGACGCCCGGGTCCTGGATGACGGAGTACCCTTGGGGCACGGCGAGTTCAGCCCCGGAGAGAAATACAAAATGATTGCTGCAGAATACGAACGTTCTGCTGGAAAGGATAAGGGCAGCAGTTATCCAGGCTGGTCTCCCGATCTTGTCGGCTCTGTGTTAGGCGAGGCAGAATTGGACACCGTGGCAGCTGAAAAAACAAGGGCGAACGTCAGCAGTTCGGCGGGACCTGCGTCCCAAAGACCTCCTCGCCACCCCTTGGCTTTGAGGGAGGCCGAGTGTGCTTTAGACCTGTCTTTCAAGCCCCTGGCAGGGCGAGATGGCTTCCAGCCTTCCTACATCTTTGGGCAGCTGGCTGCTGACGGGCCACCGCGGCAGGGGAAAGAGCCCTTTGTCAAAGACGAAGAAGAGTCTCTGTCGGACGGGGAAGACGGCGAGGAGAGGGGCCTAGAAAGCCAGGGCTTTGGAAATGCTGGCCAGAGCCTGGCCCTAGGGCTGGGGACCATGTTTGTTGCCAGCAATGGGGACGCTCCCGTGACCCCGGAGGAAGACGTCGACCAGGAGCGGGAGGCGAGCGAGGACGACATGGCCTCTTCCGACGTCTCGTCCTCGGGGGTCGTGGTGCCAACCGGGCACATTTGCATCTGCCCGCTCTGCAGCAAAGTCTTCCCCAGCCCGCACGTCCTGCAGCTCCACCTCAGCTCCCACTTCCGAGACAAGGACGGCTCTCGGACCAGGCTTTCTCCGGATGGGTCGGTGCCCACCTGTACTCTGTGCGGCAAGACCTTCTCCTGCATGTACACGCTGAAGAGGCACGAGAGGACTCACTCCGGGGAGAAGCCGTACACCTGCGGCCAGTGCGGCAAGAGCTTCCAGTACTCCCATAACCTCAGCCGCCACGCAGTGGTGCACACAAGAGAGAAGCCGCACGGCTGCAAGTGGTGCGAGAGACGCTTCACGCAGTCCGGGGATTTGTACAGACACATCCGCAAATTTCATTGTGGCCTTGTAAAGTCGCTGGTGGTTTGAGGGAAGTTGTTGTCGTTTCAAAAGACACCCGTCTGCTCTACATGCCAGTTCGCTTTGGGTAAATGATACGGGGAAGGAGGGTGGAGAATCATGTAGGTCTACATTTCATTGCTGGGGGGTGGGGGGGAGAGAGGCAACATTGGTTCTACCCTTCCCACCCTGGCCCTCCTTAGGCCGGCGGCGGTGGCGACACTTAACGTTCTGTTGTTGTTTTTCTGTGTGTGGCAGGTAAAATGAATCTTAATCTGTAGATAGCTTAATCCAAAATCCTTTGGATAGAAGCTGATTTAATCCAGTTGATTGGCCTAATTGGTCTGTGCCAAGTGGGTTGTTCTGATGCTACAGGTATGTTTTGCCCTGCTGGTTTTGAGGGTGCCCTCTTGCACCCTCTGCAAGTTTAAAAGGAATTGGAGAGAGAGAATGAGAGAGATGTGAACCTTGATCCCAAACGGCAGTTTAGGTAGGACAGTGTGTACTGCCTATATAGGAGCCGCCTTCTTCCCCCCCCCAAAAAAAATTACCATTCATCTCTCTGTTGCAGGTGCATCAAGTAGGCAGTTTTGGAACTCATTGGCCTGAGTTTCTCTCCCACTCTGGATGTAACTTTTTTTATTCAACCATTTTAATATGCTCCAGACAAATAGAACTTCAGGCAGTGTGAAAGTGATAGCTGGGACAAAGGCTTGTGCTTCATGGGGACTATCTAGAATCCTTAGACTAACTTGGGTCTGGAATAATAATAATAACAACAACAACAACAATTTTATTACTTATATGCCACCTATCCAACTGGGTAGCAGAAGCCACTCTGGGCGGCTCCCAACGTACTAAGAACACAGTAGAACAACAGTGGAAATCAATGTAGGGCCACCCTGCAAAATCTCTTGACTATTTACAGCAAAAGTGTTCTGTATTTGGAAACTGGTCCTACTAACTTAAGCTCTCACCTTGCTGCTCTTTCCCCCCTTCCATTTTTTTTAGGGGGGAGGTTTGCAATTCTAGTGAATGGTGCTGAAATATTTCAACCTGTGGGGCGTCATCTCTCAGGCCTGGTTCACAAATGACCCCAGCGTGGAGTGGGTGCGCCCTATGGCTAGGTGGTCGGGGCGGGGGGAAGGATTTGGAGCTCTTGTGCCTTTAATAGTTGCATGCCTCTGGAATTCCCCCTTCTACCCAACTATTAAAGGTGCCGGAGACCCTCTCCTCCTTTGCATCGTGTTAACCCTACCTGTCGCTCACCTTGTGCAGAACTGTGAATGTAAACCTGGCCTCCATGCAGAGAAGCCATTTTTGTGCTACAAAAAAGGAACAGCCAGGTGTTTGTCTGGGGCCTGCCTGCAAAGGCATCGTTTCATGAAGTTTTGATGTGCCGTGGGAGAAGATACTTACTGAGGTGCAGACATCCTAACCGTGCCACCTTAGTAAAAACCGCATCCCTCTATTAATAAGAGCTCTCCAGTTTTTGCTTCTAACGAAAGCTGCTTTCTTGCAAGTAAATGCCCTCTTGGATCAGGCCTTGAGAAATAGGCTGTTGTTCCCCTTCCTGGGTGCCCAGTGGTCAGAGGCACCAGTCCACCAAAAGATTCCATCTTCTCCATTCCTTGGTGAATAGCAGGCATGGTTTGTGTAAGGGAGAATGATGGGGAGCTGAACAGCCAAGGTGCTATTGAGCTTTCCCCATTCTGTGATGGTGGCATCTTCTTTTGAAAGTAGGTAGGGATACCTGAATCTCCACCCATTTCTGCTTGCAGTTGCACCTGCCTTCCCTTGGGGCATAAGTTGGGGGTGCCACCTGTGAACCATGCCTCCCCGTGTAGCTGCCTCATACACCTGTAGTTTCTCCTACAGCTGTTAGCACATCCTTGGCCAACCTGGCACCCTCCAGATGTTTTGGCCTGCGGTTTCCATCAGTCCCAGACAGGAGTGGTGGTCCGAAACATTGGTGTGCCAGTTTAGCCAAGAGTGCATTATGAGCTGGTACCATTTAACTCCTGCCACGAAGGATGAATTAGCAGTTGCTAATGTTTAGCCCATGCATTTCAGACTTATGGTTAAAGGCATAGGAACAAAACCAGTCGTTCTGTTTTTAATTATTATTATTTTGGCTCACTTGCCCCATTTTCAGATTTGAGCAGCAGGCTAAGCCGGTGAATGTACTGCCCTGCACACTTAATTGTTTGCGTGCGTGCAAATGCTCCTGTTGAATGCACAGAGGCATGTATATTTGTTCATGCGTGCTCTCTCTCTCTCTCGCTGCTTTCTCCCTTTCTTTTAGCATGGGGGGTTGGCTCCTTTAAAAGCATCTGCAAGTCAGAAATAGGACACTAATCAGGAAACAGAGCTCCGCTTTTTATTTCTTGGTTTTCTTTTCATCCCTCCACCCCGCGCCCTTGAACTCACCGGGCCTCGCTTGACCCTTGTAGAGAACACATCTGGTCAGAACAGCTGGTGGGGGGAAGCGTGGGGAGAAAGGGTGGGCTCAGATGGGGCCCAGAGGAAGTTGGAATCAGGGGGTCAGAGTAAGGGAAGGTGCCATCACTATCATTTCTTCAAGGGGGGTGGGAATGCTATTTAAGGGTGGTTGTTGTTTTTTTGCAGTGTGCAGGCAGTTTGAAGGACCGTTTCTTAAAAAAGAAACGTTCAGCATTTCAAAACTACTAGGATGTCTGCCGTGTTCTGGAGAAGTCTTTTTGTGTGATGCACGTTGTTGTTCCATAGAGTTGGAAAAGGCTTACACTCAATTAAGGATTTACACTATGTTAAAAGTTTTAAATCTTCCCAATGTTTTTTCTTAACATTGCTTTTTGTTTTGCTCCTGGTGATATTAACTATTGGTCTCCGTAGGGTCAGATTTAGCCAAGTTCCACTTGGCCATTCACATGGTTCACTCCAGACAAGCAAAGCTTTGTCGCATTGTTTTGGGAGTGTGGGTTCCTTTTTCCTTTAGTTAAGAGAGATTGAAACGCTGTAGAGTTGGAACAAATCTGGGGTGTTACTTCAACATATTTCTGCCTAATTCCAGAATGTCTTTCTAGTAACGTCATTACGTATCAGGTTATGCCTTCTTAAATCCATTCAATGTATATTTTTGCCTACGCGAAACTTTGAAAAAAAGAAAGAAGAAAGATTGCACTTGAATGTAATTCTGTGGCATTGGCATCTAGTGAATGGGACTGTAGAAGGATTGCCAAGTCAAATTTACGGATGTTTTTGGATTCTCTTAAAGTGAAAACCATCTCATTTGGAATTTTCATGGGTTTTCTTTAATATTATGGAAGCACTGAAATAATTTGCCCTAAAGGGCATGTTATGTTATCCTGCAGAATGAGACAACATAGTCCTGCATTTCTGATTACTGGGATACCACCACCCCTGCCCCGAGAGGACATGACGCCACGGGAGGGGATGAGGTCCTCACCCAAAGCCTTCTTGGATTTTTGCCACAAAAGTTCTCACTACTGAAGAGACAACCCTCTGAGATTTAAAAAGAGACTTGCCTCTTCAACTACCAGAACAAATGCATAGCTCTGTGCATGTGGTTTTCTTTCTCCTGTACACATGTCTTCCCTCTTAGTTCCTATCCAATGTATTTAGGAAGTTATGCTATGAAGGAGCAATATTAATATCATTATAGAAACACTATTTGAGGTAGTGTGGTGGTGGAATTGTGAGGGAAGCAACTCCCTTTTCTTCAGATAAAAACTGACGGGTTGCAGTTCCTTTCCTATTCCTCTCTTAAATTACGAGCGCACATATAATGTGAATTTTTACTTCTATTTATAAAACGTCTAAATGGAATTCATTTGTTACTGTACAAATATTCTTGCTAACGTATGTGAGGCATGTCAGAGCAGTACATGCCTGAGATATGTGACTATGGTACTGTGGTCTTACTTCATGTTCCCCCCTCCCCCCCCCCCAAAAAAAACTTGGATTGGAAATAGCACTGAACAAAACTTTCAAAAATTAAGTTATTTCTTTTCTGTTTTAAACTTTTAAGTTATATAAATATATTTTTCTTCCTCCTGATGATACTTGATACGGTATTTATTAGTTTTTTTTTAATGGAATGCTTACTTTGAGCTTTTTTTTCAGAATAACAGGCTTGAAATCTCTGTGTAAATTTAATTTTATTTCTTTACGTGTTTAAGAAGCGAGAACGTGTGAATCGGTGCGTAGAATGTAGGGCTGCTCATTTCCTCATCCCAGTGAGAATTCCAGCGTGCACATGGAATCTTTGTTAACTACAATAGCCAGCCTGCTGCTCTGCAAAAATTTTGGACTAGTTGCAGTCCTAAACACCTGTTGGCAGAGGTGAGATGCTTCTTCCAAGTGGATATCTATCTCCTGTTGTAATGAACAGGACAGTGAATGTGCCTAGGTCTCTGGATTGGGGTACATGTTTGCTTCTTCCTCCTCCTGGTATTTTTGTAGAAGGATTTTAATTTTTTAATTTTTTTAGAAGTGCCATATGACACCATTGGAGCCTGCTGGTGTATTAGAGGGTTGAAAAGATTTTGCATCTGAGTGTTCTCTAGGAATCTTGAACTTCTTAGCAAGGGGCATACATTGGGCTGCAGCGGGGAGGGGATGAAGGTGACAGGTGTGCCCACCTTAAATGAATTGTCAAAGCATTGTCTTTTTTTATTGTTCTCTCTCCCAACTTTTCTGGGTTGGTGTTTTATTTGTTTTGTTTTTTAAAAAAGAAGTTTGCACTTTTGAGATTACTTCTGTTTGTTCTTTGGGTTGTTTTTTTTTTTAAGGTTGCAATAGTTCTGAGCATGTATGTTTGTTTGTTTGAAAAAAAGGTTCCTTACTCTACAGGAAAGTACTAAAACCTTGCACATTGAGGTGTCTTCATAATTATGCAGCAGCTGTTCTGCCTTGCAAAGAGCATAATTGGAAAGTCCTTTTCGACTCCCATTCTCGGTTTTGATTTCATCCCGAGTCAGGATTTTACCACGATAAACTGCTTTACTTAAACAAAACACTGGATTTGTCTTATGCTCCAAACCGATACTGTGAAGAAGAAAAAAACGTTTTGAAAGAAGAAGGAAAAGAGAGAAAGATAAATCAGTTATTTTTAATTGCTTTTAATTTTGATGCAGTTCAGAGTCAAATATGTATATTTAAAGACACTAATTTTTTGTGGGAGAGTTTTTTATAGTATACAGTATGTAGAAAAGCTATTGGAATGAGCTATATTTTATATAAAAAAAAGTTCTTTCACTGTTTTATAGTGAACTATTTCCCCCACCCTACCCCCAGTGTTAGGTCTATGCTGTGTTTAGCTTAGGTTCGACAATCGCATATATATACAAAAAAAGGTGTTGACAGTTTTCCCTTCATGTTTAGTTTCCGTGTGGAGTTTTTCTCTCAATTTTTTTTTTGCAATTGTGTGTTGATATGTGCTGTTTTAAGAAAAGGAAAAAAAGAAACTGTGACAATCGTGATTAGAACTGCTGTCTTTATTAAATAAAACATGTTAGAGTTACAAAAGAAATCCTTTTCTTCTTGTTCTAAAAATTCATGGCGGAGAAGAAATTATGTTGGAAGGCACTTGGGATTTAACCAGTATTCCCCTCCTTAGTTTCCCCACTAAGGATCTATTTCAATTTTGGGTCCCCAGATACTGTCGGACTACAACTCCCATCATCCCTGACCACTGGTCCTCCTAGCAAGGGATGATGGGAGTTGTAGTCCAACAATATCTGGGGACCCTAAGGTTGAAAGAGGCTAATCTATGTGTTTACCCTCCCCTCAAACAATATGTAAAGATGGAGCATTTCACGTATCATGCAGAGGCAAGGCTAGGTTTGTTCCTGAGCATGCACTTTCAAGAACTGAGATGGCTCAGTCGGTAGAGCATGAGACTCTTTAATTGCAGGGTTGTGGGTTCGAGTCCCAGTTGGGCAAAAGATTCTTGCACTGCAGGGGGTTGAACTAAATGACCGTCATGGTCCCTTCCAACTCTGATTCTAAGAAGCTAGAGCCACCTGTAGCTTCCTGAATGATACATGTGATTGCAAAATTGCCCCCCTCTCTCATTCTTGATGCATGTGTACAGCTAAAGAGATGGGTGAAGCGATGCCCTTTATCATGTTCCTGTTTGCAGACAAAACACAGCTTGAACCTTTTGAGTCCGCCTTATTCCTCCATTTAAAAAAAATCACAGTGGTGGTGCCGTTGGTATGTAATCCATCCTGGGTCACATCTGGGGTTGTAATAACCATTTGAAGGCCAATGAGCTTTTGTGTCTCATGGCAGACTTTCTGTTTACCTGTCTGGTTCAGTAGAACGATGCCCTAAATTCCTCCCCTTTGTCAAACGAAATTCCAGCCAAAGTTACATAGCTTCAGTTCCGTTACCTTCAGTGAGTGATTTCATACTGTGGTTACTTTCCTCGGGGCCAGAAGTTTTCACAATAATAAAATTAATATGTAAAGTACAGTGGTACCTCTGGTTACGTACTTAATTCCTTCCGGAGGTCTGTTCTTAACCTGAAACTCTTCTTAACCTGAAGCACCCCTTTAGCTAATGGGGCCTTCCGCTGCTGCCGTGCCGCCGGAGCACAATTTCTGTTCTCATCCTGAAGTAAAGTTCTTAACCTGAGGTACTGTTTCTGGATTAGCGGAGTATGTAACCTGAAGCGTGTTTAACCTGAGGTATCACTGTAAAATAGAAACAGTTCATAAAATCAATTACAGTTTTAAAGTAAGTAAAAGAAAAAAAGGTAAAGGACCCCTGGACGGTTAAGTCCAGCCAAAGGCGACTGGGGTTGCAGCGCTGATCTTGCTTTCAGGCCAAGGGAGCCGGCGTTTGTCCACAGACAGCTTTCCAGGTCATGCGGCCAGCATGACTAAACCACTACTGATGCAACAGGACACCGTGACGGAAATCAGAGCGCACAGAAACACTGTTTACCTTCCCATCGCAGCGGTGCCTATTTATCTACCTGCACTGGCATGCTTTCAAACTGCTTGGTTGGCAAGAACCGGGACAGAGCAACGGGAGCTCACCCCATCGCGGAGATTCGAACCGCTGGCCTTCCGATCGGCAAGCCCAAGTGGTTTAGACCCCAGCGCCACCCGCGTCCCTGCACGTAACACCCCATGCCATGCACATACAAACAGGAGTGACCCGATGCCAAACCCACAGCTGGTTATGCTGCAAAGATGTGTAACTGTTGAGAGTTATACCCTGCTATAATAAGTTCCATATTGTTTGTACTGCTGCACATTGAGTGGCCTTTGGATACAGTTTGTTAGATGCTACCATTAACATAAAACACAAGGGCGAGGCTCCTAATTTGGCAGTGACCTATAAAGCCCTACCCAACATGGAAGCGGGCTACCTTTCTCCGGTTGAGCCTGTTCATGCACTTGAGATAATCTTCTAAGGCCCCTCTGGCAACACTTTCTGCAGTAGGGAGTTACAGGTAGGTCGCCGTGTTGGTCTGCCGTAGTTGAAACAAAATAAAAAAATTCCTTCCAGTAGCACCTTAGAGAACTACTAAGTTTGTTACTGGTATGAGCTCTTGTGTGCATGCACACGAAAGCTCATACCAATAACAAACTTCATTGGTCTCTAAGGTGCTACTGGGAGGAATTTTTTAATTTTGCAGTAGGGAGGACAGTATTGTCACTGGGGAAGTACTCTCCACAAGCCACCTTTCCTACTGCCCTCTGTGATGTCAGTTCCATGTTTTAAAAGTTGCCTCTGGAAACGCTTTACAGTCATTTGCTTTTATTTCCTGCTTTGACACCTTATTGTCGCCTATTGGGAATGTGCATTGGCCACAAACTTCATCTTGGATCCGGGTTTGCCACCTCAGAAAACAACTTGATTCGCTTTGGGCAGCTTGGGAGAGGGGGCTGCACGGTCCAGGGAAAAGCAAAGCTTTCTGCTTCCCTGTTGACTATCGTGGAAATCAAGTGGCTGTAACATTGTTTTAAATAACGGTCTCTATAATGTTTCTTCTTGGCAGGATTGGATGAAATTTGCAGGCCTGGTATCACTATGAAGAGGAAGAATACTGCCAAAGCTCAAAAGGGCAGCTACAGTGGTTCTCCTGCAAGGACCCCCTTTTCCATTTGGGGGTGATTAAAAAAGTATTCATTTTATCTGCCATGTTTTGTGTGCAACATGTATGAAAATAACATACGGCACGTGGGTGACCCTTGATAAGAAAGTTGCCAAATTTCAGAAGATGCAAGGTGTATGTTTGCTGCACATTTTGAAAGTTTATTGCAGGGGGTGAGTCTGAAAGGGATTGGCTTCTCTCCCTGTAATTTTGTGGGCAATAATTTCAGTAAAAAAATAAAAAGTGTATGTAAGTTGTAGAGTTTCATCTAGCGAAGTAACTTGCAGAATTTCAGGAGAATAGTTGCAAGGGCTATGGAGTTACAATGAATGGGGTGGGGGCTGCTTCAGGCTTATGTCCTGCTGAATTGGTGCCCAAAGTCACAGAAACCTGAGCGCAAAGCTGACTTGACAAAGAGTAGATGTTTGGGCACGTGGTACGGAGACAGAAGGAAGTGGATGTCCTGCATTTTCTAAGCAAGCATCACTAACTGAACTAGCACAAAATCAGACAAGAACAAGGGGATAAATTACTTCAGTGTCCCTCCTCCAAAGCACTGTGATTGGAGAGCCCTGATACTCTTGTTTCTTCTGCAAAAGAAAAGAAAAGAGAGAGCAATTGGTTACAAAACGAAATATGCACACAAAACCCAGCTACCCTCCCCTCTCCTCCAACCTTGGTATTTTCCTCACAACCTTGGGGAGAAATGTTTCAATATTTTGCAGCCAAACTCTGCAGTGATTTATTTGTTTTGGTCCCCACCGCACCCCCCGCCACTCCAAACCGCTCACAATGTTTTGGGAGGCCCCATGCTCAGTTTGGGGCGATTCAGAGGGAGGCCAGTTTGGCTCAGACAAGTCCCAAACCTCTCTGAATCGGTCAGGGATTCATTTGTATCTAATGCACACCCCTAATCTTCACTGCTTCTGTTCTTGTAAGCCGCCCCTGGGGAAGGCACTCTGAGGGGCAGGGATAAATGTTTAAAATAAACGATGCCTTCGTTCACCCAATTCCTTCTTTTTATTCTCACACAGGTTTTTCCTGCACATTGTCTTTCCCCTCAGCATTTTTGGCTTCCCCTCAACTGTCACCACAATTTCCCTCCCTCCGTTGATCTTTCCCACCATTTTGTGCATCTTCCTTTCTGAGCCACGTTGTCACAGACTTATGCCCAGGGATGGGCAGATCAAGATCTACTGACAATCTGGAGTTGGTCTGCAAGGGTTTCCAACTTCCTTTTCTTTTCTTTTTTATCAAGGAAAATAGCAAAATGAGTCCCCCTGCCCCTGAGAGTTGTTAAGACACCCAACTGTATCCCACAGAGAGCCACAATTCCCACAGTTTGCTGGGAAGAAAATTAATTGTTCAACCACTCTGAAAATTGAGCTCTGTGAGGGGAATCTCCTAACGTCTCTCAGCACCCTTAAACTACAGTTTCTTCGGAGGAAGCACTATTCACAGTGCTTCAAGCATATAACAAGGGTGAGGCCTAAGTCTTTCTCTAGCTGGTGGATTGTGGGGTTTTATTAAATAAACCCAAAACTAAAGCAGACCCCACGATCCTGACGTCTCCTCATCCCTGTCAGAGGCACTATGAATAATTAAATATGGCCTGACGGGGGTCCATTTATAGGGAGATGGGGAAAGGTAGCTAGTAACTTCCTCCACCTGTTCATCCTTCATTCCCTTGGCTTAATGATGAAAACATGAAGTTAAGAACTGTGCCTTTTCCTTGCAGTAGTGAAGGCAGATGGGGCACACAGACCTCTAAAGAAAATACATAAAAGGGAACTGGGCAATGTGCAAATGGCTTCTTGCCACCGCCGTGAGGCAAGCACCACTTATGTGGTCTGTTGGTTGAGTCTGAGAAACCAGCAGGAAGCTGTGATTCAGTAGTGAGAAAAGCAGCACTCTGCACATGTTCAGAGCACCCCTGTCCCCTGCTTTCACTGCGTCTTCCAGAACTTACCCTTGCCTTTACAAGTGGGCTCAGAGCTAAACCCCAGAGAAACTTTGCCTGGATCTGTCTGAGCCCCAGAGGCCTAAAAACTCCTTTTATTATCTCGGAATATCGGGGTGGTTCGGCACTGCCCCCCAAATCCTGAGCACTCCACTGCTCACCGCCCTGCAGCCAGACAAAGGTCTCCTCAAGCGACTGACTGGCTTCTTTCATCCCACATTAAAAATATTTGCTAACCCGGTTTTAATTGAGGCAGCCAAAACAATTTGCTTATTGTAATCTTTTCCCCTCCCTGTTTGGCTCTTTCACCCCTCCTGTAGCACAGCTGCACACTTTTGCACACACAGCTGGCGCTTGTGTCCTTTCAGAGTGATTTGCCCTAGAAAATTAAGACTTGCCAACCTGGTTTGAACAAAACAACAACAAAGAAACCCATTAATATTCTCCGGGCCTTTTGTGTGCTTGCATGTGACAGCTTCTGCAATATCTCCATAAGAGGAGGCTGGCACAGTCCAGAGGAGGAGGAGGAGGAGGAGGAAAATCTGAGGCCGGGCCAGATTCCAGCCAAAAACAATTTCTGCTCGCCAGAGCTGACAACACTTGCAAAAGGGTAAGGGGGTCACTTGCGACAAAGTTAACATTCAGCCACCTGCTTGAATTCACAGTGGGCCTCTTCTCCTCTTGCCCGGCGCTGTGTGGCTACTTTTTTCTTCTTCCACTGCTCAATTGTTCTCGTTCCTCCGCGGTCTCCGGTTTGTGAAGCAAAGTTTGAGCAGCGTTCCTCCCCTTATTTCTTCCTCCTTTCCATTCCAGACTTTCCACTTTTCTTTGCACTTGGGTTGTTAGCACGGTAATGAAATTTAAACAAACGTCGTGCAAGCCATATGTATCGGAATGCCTGGGAGACATCAGAAATGGCTCGTCGCGGATGCCAAGTCGCTTTCTCTTTTTTTCTCTCCAAATTTTTAAATTAATTTTCCAAAAAAAATTAAACAAATCTCAACTGCATTTAAACCAATCTTAGTAACATTGTTAAGTGGCTTCCTCGAATCCCCCTAGTTGAATTTCAGTGTATATCATTATAACAGTTTTCCAAAACCATTTTTCTCATAAAATTAACTTAATCACTTAACATCTTTCTTTCTTTCTATTTTAACTTTAAACATATTAATCTCTAACATTACATATTTAAATACTAACCCTATCTGGAATTTGCAAGTTTTTCCAATTAAATTATCTTAACATATTTAACTAAATAGTCCTTGAATTTCATCCATTCCTCCTGGTATTCCTCCTCCTGGTTGCGGACTCTTCCAGTAAGGTCAGCTAGCTCCAAAAAAATCCATCATCTTCATCTGCCATTCCTCCACTGTAGAGACTTCTTGTGTTTTACAATTCTTCACTAACAAAATTTTTGCTGCAGTTGTGGCATACAAAAACAGTTTAACATATTTCTTGGGCAATTCCAAACCTGTTATTCCAAGAAGAAAGGCCTCTGGTTTCTTAATAAATGTATATTTCAACATTTTTTCCCATTTCATTATAAATCTTCTCCCAGAAGTCTTTCACCTTGGGGCAGGTCCACCACATATGATAAAAGGTACCCTCCTTTTCTTTACATTTCCAGCATAGATTATCACCGTTATGATAAATCTTTGCTAATTTTACAGGGGTTAAGTACCATCTATACATCATTTTCATAATATTTTCCTTTAACACCGTACATGCAGTGAACTTGACCCCTTTCCTCCACAATCTTTCCCAGTCTTCAAACATTATATTGTGTTCCACATCTCTTGCCCAATCTATCATCACTGATTTAATTTGCTCATCTTTTGTATGCCATTCCAACAATAAATTATACATTTTGGACAGATTTTTAACTTTAGAGCCCAACAACTCCCATTTCCAACTTAGTTTTTTCTGAAGCAAAACCATTTTTCTTATCTAATTTATACAATTCATTGATCTGCCAAGTCGCTTTCTCTTGGAAGGATCCCGTTGCCCTGTCGGAGACATCTTGTGGGGCTTCCTGCAAGCTTTAAGATTTATTTTGGTTTGTGTCACCTCTGGTTTTGGAAAGCTGGAGATTGTGCACGGGCGATTGTGCGGGAGTGTCACCAAAATGGTGCCCCTGATCAGAAAGCATTATTATTGTTGATAGCATGAGTGACCAACATAATGTTTGCTGCAACAAGGACATTTTCATAATTGCATTTGAGGCAAATGTGGACATAAGATTCCTTCAAGCACCCTGGTTGTCCTGCCAAATACTGTTGAGCAAGTAAGCGGAATCCCTAGTCCTCCCCAGTGTCAGAAACTCAGATATATAAGCTGATCGCCCAATAGCACCTTCAACCTAGATTATGGTCACTACAATAGAATGTCTAGGCGCCTTTTTATTTTCAATGGAAGGAAAATTCTCAAAGTGGTTTGCAACACATTAAAACCACCAAAACAAAATCCAGAATAAAACAAAATTCAAGCTTGAAGATAAATATTTCAGATTCTTCTCTAAGTGACTCTCCCCCCCCCATATTTATTTACTTAC